GTGTCCGAATGTAGCCTTCCAACATATGAATCTTTATGTATCGACCATTTCGAGACTCCTCGTCATGTCTGTGATCTCATCCAAGACATCGAACAAACTTCGGTTCATCAAAACACGAAACTCATAATACAAATCGTCATCAAACGTTAAGCGTGCGGACCCTATGGGTTCGAGAACTATGTAGACATGACCGAGACATATATCTGGTCAATAACCAATAGCGGAACCTAGATGCTCATATTGGCTCATATATATTCTATGAAGATCTTTATCGGTCAAACCGCATAACAACATACGTTGTTCCCTTTGTCATCGGTATGTAACTTGCGCGAGATTCGATCGTTGGTATCATCATACCTAGTTCAATCTCATCACCGGCAAGTCTCTTTACTCGTTCCGTGATGCATCATCCCATGACTAACTTATTAGTCACATTGCTTGTAAGGCTCATAGTGATGTGCATTACCGAGAGGGTCCAGAGATACCTCTCTGATACACGGAGTGACAAATCCTAATATCGATCTATGACAACTCAACAAACACCGTCGGAGACACCTGTAGAGCATCTTTATAATCACCCAGTTACGTTGTGACGTTTGATAGCACACAAGGTGTTCCTCCGGTATTCGGGAGTTGCATAATCTCATAGTCTGAGGAACATGTATAAGTCATGAAGAAAGTAATAGCAAAAAAACTAAATGATCATTATACTAAGCTACGGATGGGTCTTGTCCATCACATCATTCTCTAATGATGTGATCCCGTTCATCAAATGACAACACATGTCTATGGTCAGGAAACTTAACCATCTTTGATTAACGAGCTAGTCAATTAGAGGCATACTAGGGACACTCTGTTTGTCTATGTATTCATATATGTACTTAAGTTTCCGGTTAATACAATTTTAGCATGAATAATAAACATTTATCAAAATATAAGGAAATATAATAACAAATTTATTATTGCCTCTAGGGCATATTTCCTGCACACATGTCCAACCAAAAGCAACCATGTGCTCCTCTTCTCTCCTACAAGCATGATAAATGGAGGGCACCACGCGTGGCCCAAGCTAGTCCTCGGCAGCAACCATGAATGCAAAAACCGAAATCCACACACAAGGATCCATGGAGTTCTCCTGGCCACGGGGTGCGTGGCTGAAAAAAAATCTCGGAGCTTGCCCTTCTCGGATGCAGCGTCTGACCCGTGGGGATGGTAACTCATTGGGAACAACTCTCACAATCACCAATAACAAATCTTTCAATCACAGGGAACAACTCTTAGAATCACAAGGAACACGAGGAAAATACTGGACACTGAAACGACCACCGCGTCGCTCGTCTTGGGCGTCATGGGGGAACGCAACCCCGCCGCCGCCAGTTCCACCCCTTGGTGCCCTCCTCTCGCCGGCCTCACCGGGGTGGTGGCGGGCCTCACCTCCAAAGGTGGCGTGGGAGTTATGCACTGAGCGCCGCGATTCTTCTCGATCAAGACACACGAAGGCTTCGTGGCTAGGTCGCATCGGCGGCTGATCTCGCGACAACAACTGTTGCTTGGGCCGTGGGGCTTGGATCTGCCCGGATCTGGCCTCCCTTGACGCGGCTACATCTCACTGGCAAAGGCATGGCAAGCCGACAACCCCGGGCATGCTGGTGGCATCATTCTACTCCTCCCTCATCTCCGTGGATCTGGAGCCTGCTTCTAAAATCCATTGGTGGTGGTGCCTAGGAGTGCGATTGCGGCACCGGCCGGTCGTCCAGGGTGCCGGGGTCTCCTCCCATGGCCGCGAGGTTGAGGTGGTGGCAGAGTGCCGCATTGTTTTGCCAGTATGGCTATATTATGGTCATCACTCCGGCTAGCAACGTCGGCCTCGTTACAATGACCATCGAAATGTCTTCAAGAGAGTTCCATCTCTACAAATCTGGTGGTTGACTTCGACTAAGAGATGTAAATTATGAACGACGACTTGACACAAAGGGATGATTGTACAGCTCTGTTATATATAGCTGCTGGGATTGAGAAAAAGTGGTGGCGACAACACATTAGTGATTTTGACAGTGGTGCTACTCGAGCACCTGGTCTCGAGCTCCAGGGTGAAAGCCTAAGTCTAATCCGAGTTGGGTATACTTGGCAATGGCGATGTTTTACCTCGTTACCTTGTTGAAGGCATTATTCGGATATGCTCAAACTAATTCTTTTGGGTGAAAACCTAGATCCTGGCCTCGGATGATCAGATCCGGGGATGACGACGCTTAAGCGTTGCTCCCTTCCTGAAAGCGTTGTTGGTGAAGTACCTCGTCGTCTGTGTGGGTCATGAGTTAGTTAGTGCATCATGCGAATATGGTCGTTGTTATAGTTTACTGGCCGCGAATTTGATCGCTTTGGCGCTTTTTCCTCTTTTTCCACGCACACGCATAGCTTTGGTCCTATATGATTTTGCTATTTGCCGGCGTGTTTTGTGTGCATCTTAGCTATGCAGAGGTCGGATGTGTGCTCATTGTGTTTGTATCTTCTTGATGCTTCATTCTGAGTCAATAGAATCCACCCTTTGTCAAAAAAAAATCACAATGAACAACTCACAAAGAGAAAAATGATTCAAAAGAGTAAGCAAAAACTCTCTGAATCATTAGGAACAAATCTCTCAATCACAAGTTGTTGCTTGTGTCATCATGGTCGTCATTGTCATTGGCGGCATGTGTCCGTGCGTCCGTGCTCAAGTGCACATCATGCTCCATTGAGGAACTCGGAATATTAAAGTGTTTGATGAAATGCGTACATGGGCAGGGTTGAACAAATATGGAAAATTTAATGACTACAGTTGGATGACTGGTTTCCGTGTCGTGTTCACGGACGCATCCGTATGTGGCACACAGACAGATAGTGTGTTTGTTTTAGGGGATAGTGTTGGAGATGCCCTAACCAAACAAACATGACGCGGGCAAAATCCTATGAAATTCAAGTGGATATGATACCGCAATCATGTATTTTTCATGTACCGCGTTTTAGAATCATAAAAATCGAATACCCCAAAGTTTTTACAAGACTCAATTCCTATCAAATTTGTATGACCCAAACCGGTGGCGGATCCTGTAAGTGAAGATCAGGGGACCAATGTAGCAAGGTAGGGATTTCCATTTTGGGGGTAAAATGCAAGGAAATGACATCACGATATGCATGCACAAATGTATAAGGCAAATGTTGTACGACTATTGTTTTTTTACTTTTAGTTTCAGAAAAAAAATTAGCACCAACCGACCTCACCAAAATTCAGTGGATTACATTGATTTTGGTTTGCATTTCGGCCAAAGGGCAGAAATATTCATTTGAATTCAATTAAATATTTCAAAACATGTGAATGCCCGTGTACTACTGAAATTGCTGAAATATTTTGATCGAAATGTAAATATTTCAATGTCTACTGAAATTACCGAAATTCAGTGAATTTCATTGAAATCTCAGAGAGAGTGAAAACCACAGCCTACAACATAACAAGAGGGGAAAGGTTTCCACTTCTAGACATAAAAGGACTCTGTTGCCTAAATTGCAGGAGGGGGCAAAGCCGGGATAACTCAATCATGACCACCCGTTGCGAATCGATTGTCTGACATGTCTCTTACCATATTCAATCAAGATAGCTGCAGCTGTGCCTGTACTCGAGGCCTGCCCATGAAAACCCATCACGGGAAATCTCACCACTTCACACCGGAATCCCGAGTTCCTCAACAGCGACGCCGCGACGGCGACCGACTACAAACGCGGGGAGACGAGAGCCGGAGAAACAGACAAGGCGAAGAGACCCCGAACCGCCGACTCGGGAGCACACCAAAAACGGAGATGCGCCGCCAATAATTTAACAGTGCGCACCATCAAGAACACGATGCCTTTTTCCCCCATCCCACCCCTCGCTTCCTCCCCATTTCGCTTGTGTGTCGTTGACGAGATCTCGCGTCCATGTGCCCGGGGTTGTTTTCCTTTGACTTAATCCAACCAGGAAGAGGACTTCGAGCCGTGCGAAGCTAGTATATTGGCGGTCTGCTGGTTGCTCCCATCACTTGGTTTCCTCATCTTCTTGCCATTTCTCGTCTGCTTGCTTCTTCTTCTTCTCGC